GTTATAGATCACTTATTAAATTATAACTTGTACACACATCCCACTATATAAACAAGTCTTTTTTCTTGTAAACTTTCGATGTGGGATTCCTTATCATTTATAAGACACTTAAAATTGAGTTTATCAACTTATGGGCCTATATTGGAGACTTTTCCAATTCACCCAAATTAATTGCAATGACCTACATAATTAAATATCACATTTAATTATTTAATACATTATCAATTAATTCCAACATAGAGATATGTTTCCTCACTCTCCGAGGAAGGGATGGACTCATACCCTTCGTGATCGCAAGTTCAGGGATAGACTGAGCCCTCTTGGGACTCATGGGAATGCCCATGATGTGGCAAATGAAAATTCAGTACCAAAGGTTCAAGAACAGCAGAGTAGCAAGCCTCCGTTGAAATCACGTATGTTGAGGATGGTGAAGAAGTAGAACAGGCTGCAGGAAGTCTAGGCATTTACAGTAGAAGCCCGGTTAAACTTTCTCTTGGCGTCTCGCTTAATGCAAAAAGAATGAGGAAGGTACCTTGCCATGGATCAGCACCATTCGTTTACATGGACACTTGTTTTAATAATGGTGAGCTGCCTGGTACCAGTTCATTGAAGAAGAGGTTAGATCGAAAATTGGAGATGGAGGGTTTGAAGATCTCAACAAGTTGTGTGAACTTGTTAAACAATGGGCTTGATATTTTTATGAAGAGATTAGTAGAACCCTGTCTCGATTTAGTTGCTTCAAGATCGAAGCGTACACTTCACAATCAAGTTTATCATCAAGCCAAATTCATCATAAATGGGATTAGGCCTATTTACATACAGAACCCGAAGAGATTGTTCTTCGTGTCAATGTTAGATCTTCAAGTTGCAATGGAGTCGAATCTCAGGATACTTGGACCAGATTGGTCACTGCAGCTTGAGGAAGTTTCCCTGCGTGCAACAAAAGTTACAGCAGAATAGCCCGTGAATTTGATGTTACAAGACTTTTAAGTTCATGTCAAAGTGATAAACCAGTTTTATGACTCTAGAGAGCCCTTTCTAACAGGGATGTTGACATTACCATATCATACCATCAAACCTATAGCAACGACGTGATTTAGAGTTTTAGAAAATTTCGAATCAAGTTGGTTAGGTTGTATGGACATCTCAGAGCTGATTATTTTATAAAGAGGGACTCTTTACCTCATAAGGTACATAGTATTTGGGTACTTGCAAGATCTAGTCAGCGGACTTCTTCAACTAACATTAGATTTTGTTCATCTTATTGATTTTGAACAATGCTAGGGGTACATGAAATTACACATAGAAACAGGACAGAATACACACAATACGTGGGCTCCCATTTTTTGGCAATATTTAATTCAAGTGGGGCCCGCCTCCCTTGTGAGTGGAATTCAAATTTCTGTACAAAATCTGGTTTTTTTTCCCTATACTTGCATCATTTTTCGTTGATTTTTTGCTCGTCAATGAATGTTGTTTCGAGTATATGTACTGTCAGTTTTAACTCTAATACCATTCTCCGATCTCCCAAAACTCCCACCACCAGAATAAAAGAAGCAAAAGACAGAAAAGGAAAGATGAAGTAAAGGAACAGCAGCTTCAATAGATTTCAATTGTCTGTGGATGCTTCAATTAACCATTGGACCAAATTTTTGTGCATTTTTTTCCAAGATAAAGCTGAGAATCAACCTGTTTCAACAATGTCAAAAACCACCACCTACATTCTTGGTTGACCAAGTTAGCCTCTAATTATCGCCTTGATGACTTTTTAACTTTTCCATCGATCCACCAAAAACACTTGTAAATAACTAAGTCCTCAACGAAACATCAAAATTGTGAGCTAAACATAGTTTTCCCAATGTTCAGTTCTTTACCCTTTCCAATCCTACTTGTCGATAAAGGCAGGATATGAGTAAAAATTTAGGGAAAAAATTACAATAATATTTAAAGTTGGCCAAAAGTAGTTGTCAAGGTGTATTTTTATTTAGAAAAATATTAAATGTAATACATTTTCGGGTAAATAGCACAGAACGTCCCTACCTCTCAATATTGCTGTGCAAAACTTCTCTACCTTTCATTTTTTGACATTTTTACCCCTACCTTCCACCTTTTATTACGTAAAAGGTCATTTTCAACAATTTTTCTAATAAAATGACGATGCTACCCTTCTATTCAAATGAAACAAAAAGAAAAAAAAATAATTAATTGTAATCATAGTCCTAAATTTTTCAAAATATTACAGATAAATCCAAAATTCTCTACCACCCACCACTTTCACAATATCACCAAGCCGCCACCTATAGATCCACATAGCACCACCACCTTCTGGCCACCACACCTGTCGAACTCCACCACCACTAGCCTCGCTTTACTCTCCCCAATATCGTCTCCCACAGTATTGGTCACAAAATCTGTCTAAAACAGTCACATGTGCAGCCTAAAATACCAAACTGTTGTATACAACCCTTCAAGGCAACCCCACTTTCGGCGCCACCCACAGTCGCTCACCACCACCGACGGTTACCCCTCACCTCGGCGAATCTATACATGGTCTCACATCAATCAAACCCGCCTCCAATCATTCTACTGTAATCTAAACATTCGATAGTGGCGAACTCTATTTTGCCAAACTTTTCTCCTTCAATTGATGTATCCCACAACTCTAAATCCCCAAATTGGCATCAATCGAACCATCAACAAACCGAAACAAAAAATGGGTATGAATCTAATTGAACTAATTACCCCTCCCTCCAACCGTTTCAATTTTTGGTCCAAAACTCTCCACAGGTGCAATGCACGGCGAGAGTTGTTTGACCAAAATTGGTGAGTTCTAAGTGCTTCAATCCTCAAATTCGTGTGGAGGAGGACGGTGAGGGACTGAAGCAAAGTTGGTGGTGATGCAGTCTGGTGGGCATGGTGGCCGAAAGGTGGTGCTATGTGGATCTATAGGTGGCAACTTTATAGGCTGTGATAGTGGTGGTAGTGGAGAATTTATGATTTCTTTGTAATTTTTTAAAAATTTAAGGACTGTAGTTGCAGTTGGTTATTGATCTTTTTCTTTTTGTTTTATTTGAATATGAGGGTAAAATCGTCTTTTATTGAAAAAATGGTTGAAAAGGACTTTTTGCTCAATAAAATGTGGAAGGTATGGATGAAAATGTCAAAAAATAAAAGGTAAGGACATTTTTCACAATGACATTGAAAGATAGGGATGTCCTGTGCTATTTACCCTACTTTTTCTTACATATAGTTGCAAATTANAAACTTTCGATGTGGGATTACTTACCATATATAAGACACTTAAAATTGGGCTTATTAACTTATGTGCTTATATTGGAGACTTATCCAATTCACCCAAATTAATAATAATGGCCCACATAATTAAATATCACATTTAATTATTTAATACATGATCAATTAATTCCAACATAGAGATATGTTTCCTCGCTCTCCGAGGAAGGAACGGACTCATACCCTTCGTGATCGCAAGTTCAGGGATAGACTGAGCCCTCTTGGGACTCATGGGAATGCCCATGATGTGGTAAATGAAAATTCAGTACCAAAGGTTCAAGAACAGCAGAGTAGCAAGCCTCCGTTGAAATCACGTATGTTGAGGATGGTGAAGAAGTAGAACAGGCTGCAGGAAGTACAGGCATTTACAGTAGAAGCCCGGTTAAACTTTCTCTTGGCGTCTCGCTTAATGCAAAAAGAAAGAGGAAGGTACTTTGCCATGGATCAGCACCATTCGTTTACATGGACACTTGTTTTAATAATGGTGAGCTGCCTGGTACCCGTTCATTGAAGAAGAGGTTAGATCGAAAATTGGAGATGGAGGGTTTGAAGATCTCAACAAGTAGTGTGAACTTGTTAAACAATGGGCTCGATATTTTTATGAAGAGATTAGTAGAACCCTGTCTCGATTTACTTGCTTCAAGATCGGAGCGTACGCTTCACAATCAAGTTTATCATCAAGCCAAATTCATCATAAATGGGATTAGGCCTATTTACATACAGAACCCGAAGAGATTGTTCTTCGTGTCAATGTTAGATCTTCAAGTTACAATGGAGTCGAATCCCTGGATACTTGGAGCAGATTGGCCACTGCAGCTTGAGGAAGTTTCCCTGCGTGCAACAAAAGTTACAGCAGAATACCCCGTGAATTTGATGTTACAAGACTTTCAAGTTCATGTCAAAGTGATAAACCAGTTTTATGACTCTAGAGAGCCCTTTCTAACAATGATGTTGACATTATCATATCATACCATCAAGCCTATAGCAACGACGTGATTTAGAGTTTTAGAAAATTTCGAATCAAGTTGGTTAGGTCGTATGGACATCTCAGAGCTGATTATTTTATAAAGAGGGACTCTTTACCTCATAAGGCACATAGTATTTGGGTACTTGCAAGATCTAGTCAGCGGCCATCTTCAACTAACATTAGATTTTGTTCATCTTATTGATTTTGAACAATGCTAGGGGTACATGAAATTACACACAGAAACAGGACAGAATACACACAACACGTGGGCTCCCATTTTTTAGCAATACTTAATTCAAGTGGGGCCCGCCTCCCTTGTGAGGGAATTCAAATTCCTGTACAAAATCTGGTTTTTTTTTTCCTATACTTGCATCATTTTTCATTGATTTTTTGTTCGTCAATGAATGTTGTTTCGAGTATATGTACTGTCAGTTTTAACTCTAATACCATTCTCCAATCTCCCAAAACTCCCACCACCAGAATAAAAGAAGCAAAAGACAGAAAAGGAAAGATGAAGTAAAGGAACAGCAGCTTCAATAGATTTCAATAGTCTGTGGATGCTTCAATTAACCATTGGACCAAATTTTTGTGCATTTTTCTCCAAGATAAAGCTCAGGATCAACCTGTTTCAACAATGTCAAAAACCACCTTTTACATTCTTGGTTGACCAAGTTAGCCTCTAATTATCGCCTTGATGACTTTTTAACTTTTCCATCGATCCACCAAAAACACTTGTAAATAACTAAGTCCTCAACGACGCATCAAAATTGTGAGCTAAACATACTTTTTCCAATGTTCAGTTCTTTTCCCTTTCAAATCCTACTTGTCGATCGGGGCAGGATAGGAGTAAAAATCTAGGGAAAAAAATTACAATAATATTTAAAGTTGGCCAAAAGTAGTTGTCAAGGTGTATTTTTATTTAGAAAAATATTAAATGTAATACTTTTTCGGGTAAATAGCACAGAACATCCCTACCTTTCAATGTTATTGTGCAAAACATCTCTACCTTTCATTTTTTGACATTTTCACCCCTACCTTCCATCTTTCATTACGTAAAAGATCATTTTCAACTATTTTACTAATAAAATGACGATGTTACCCTTCTATTCAAATGAAACAAAAAGAAAAAAAAAAATAACTAATTGTAATCATAGTCCTAAATTTTTCAAAATATTACAGATAAGTCCAAAATTCTCCTCCTCCACCACCACCACCACTTTCACAACATCACCAAGCCGCCACCTATAGATCCACAGGCCACCACGCCCGTCGAACTCCACCACCAATAGCCTCGCTTCACTCTCCCCCAATATCCTCTCCTACAGTATTGGTCACAAAATCTGTAGAAAACAGCCACATTTGCAGCCTAAAATACCAAACTATCGTATACAACCCTTCATGGCAATCCCACTTTCGGCGCCACCCACGGTCGCGCACCACCACAGACGATTACCCCCTCATCTCGACGAATCTATACAAGACCTCAGATCAATCAAACACACCTCAAATCATTCTACTGTAATCTAAACATTCGATAGTGGCGACCTCTATTTTGCCAAACTCTTCTCCTTCAATTCATGCATCCTACAACACTAAATCCCCAAATTGGCATCAATCGAACCATCAACAAACCGAAACGACAATGGGTATGAATCTAATTGAACCAATTACCCCTCCCCCCAACCGTTTCAATTTCTGGTCCAAAACTCCCCACAAGTGCAATGCACGGCGAGAGTTGTTTGACCAAAATTGGTGAGTCCTAAGTGCTTCAATCCTCAAATTCGTGTGGAGGAGAACGGTGAGGGACTGAAGCAAAGTTGGTGGTGATGCAGTCTGGTGGGCATGGTGGCCGAAAGGTGGTGCTATGTGGATCTATAGGTGGCAACTTTATAGGTTGTGAAAGTGGTGGTAGTGGAGAATTTATAATTTCTTTGTAATTTTTTAAAAATTTAAGGACTGTAGTTGCAATTGGTTATTGATCTTTTTCTTTTTGTTTTATTTGA